AGAGGATCTGTCTTGCCAGTTGACAGATGACTCGGCTGGCAAAGAAAACCTACAGTTTGCAATCAAGGACTCATGAATCCCCTCTAATCGCAATTGCTTTAATCGTTTTACCGTCATAGTATGGCTTACCTGTTGGTAGATGTCCAGTTTTCCATGTATAGCGTGAAGCCAGACTTTGGTTCTGGAAGGTCTTGATCTAAAAAATGCGTCGTTTTCCTAGGAAACAATGTCACTTATTTGTAATTTTAGAGCTAGCTTTCTGTCTGATTTCCAATAAAAAATAGAAACAGTGTTTATTATCCTTTTGGTCGTAGATATCTGAATTGTGCGTTAATTAGACAACCCAAAAGAACAGATGAGGCTTCTTATTCTTTCCAGACCAATATTGTCGTATTTAACAGCACTGCAAGTATGGACTTCCTTCACGGAATGCGAATTAGGCGAGGCCTATAACCCACCGTCACATGAGCTGATTGGCCAGTTAGTGACAGGATTCCCACTTGACGTACATCGTCCAGTCTGAAATGCCGTCGTGGGTATTAAAGATGTTGAAACGACAGTCTTGTTGGAATAAGAAAACGTTTTTGGAGGCGAGGTCAGATGCACTTTATCGACATGCCCGAGAAGCATGTGAGCAACTCAACTAACAGGCCTTCCATCATCCAAAGACGTCTGATGCAACCTGATGTGACCTGGTTTCATGTGATTGCGACACTAGGGTAAATCCTGGAGATCACATACATATACACTTATGTATGCATTGCATTTCATCCACCCGTCCGAGACAGTTGCATTGCACTCGTCCTAACCTGCATCATATGCAACCGCCAAGCTTCCCTCTCGTCTTCGCCCAACCCTGGTGTCCGGACCATCTACACAATTCGGATGATGAGTAATAACACTTCCGCTATGATCGTCTTCTTTGGCCAATCGCTTGGACCAATATTCGCTTCTTGTGGATACATTCGTGACTTGTTTAGTTCTGTATTGGCGCGTAGAGCAACGCCGGCAGCCACACCCTCCATCGGTGTATGCTTTATCGTATTTTGCTGTTAGGCTTCTCAATATTTCATGACCTGTATGCATATGCTTCATAGGACTCATCTTTTCATTTGCTTCTTCCATCTCATTCGTGCCATCTTGCCCCCTTTGGATTTTTAAAGTTTGGCAGGCGATTAAATAGATATTGTGACATAACTCTCCATTTCGATGGGAAAGTTGGTAAGAAGGAATTCGCAATGTGGTCTCACCGGAAACTGAAGGAAGACTGAAGATGTGAAGACCAAGATGTTGTGGCCTCGGGTATGGTCGCAGTCTCCTTTCAACTTATAGAAGTGG